AAAGTGAGACTCTATCTCAAAAAAAAATAATAATAATAATAATTAAAAAATAAATAAATAAATTACCTAGCTTCTAGTATTCCTTTATAGCAACACTAAATAGTGTAAGACAGGATCTATATTTTAAAAGATAGTGGTAAAAAGCAATGCATAAAATGATTATTTTCTATATAGAGTGTATACATGACCTGGTCTTGGTACAGAAAAAAATCAATGTTTGTTAAAAACAACCAGTTTAGAATATGCAATGTGCTTAGTGGTAATATGTTTTAACAAATATTCTTTAATAACAAGTCAAATAGATGTTTTTGACTTTAACTCCTTGGTCTATTCTCTCCATTTATGTCACATGAGAGACACTTTGTGGTAACTCTGTGGTATTATATTTAGTAAGAGAAAAATCTCATGACTGTAAGACAGTTCAAGTGCCCTCCTAATTGTTAAGCAACTTAATTTAGTCATGACAGAATGAACATGTAGGAGGGAAGCAATATGAATTTCTACCACAGGTAACTTTTTCTTCCCTAAAATAGCAAATGGAGGATTTTTCTACACACAATTAGTAAAATTAGGACTGATCATGAAATTCCTCCCTTTTCTGAAATGATGAAGGAGCTATTGATGGGTAAATAGATCAAAACAGAGATTTTCCATCCTTGTTGATTTACTTAGAGAAATCTCTAAAAAGTTAAAATCTTAAAAATAATAATGTCCTTAAATACATACGTCAGTAAAGGCACTTCTGTCACCAAGCTGTACATAAAGATTCACATCAGAACCCCCTGCCCCCAAGTGAAACAAAGGACTATGCAGGTATCAGGAGGCACATTTTGAAATGAAGATTCTCATTTTCACCTTGGTTTTGAATTCTCCATTAAATGCAAACTGGTTTTCTGGTTTTCCTTCTGGCACCTTATAAAATCTAAACCAGTTCAGAGTAGCTTCCAGGTAACCTGGTTTGAACTTCTTAACATCATCAATATCTGTAAGTGACGAACAAAAAAATTAAACTTTATTATTCCACATAGATATCAAACACTGCACTGACGGGCCCCGGGAACATGAGGCCTGGTCCAACGAGCGGTGGTGTTGAGTGGTAACCACTGATATTTATCAACAACGTGGTGTTGAGCGGTAACCACTGGTATCTATCAACCATGTGGTGTTGAGCGGAACCACTGGTATCTACCGCGGCAGCTTAGAACTTCCATGTTTTCATATGTACAATACTATTTCTCCATTCTACAGTTACATAAGGTCTTCAGACAATGTGTTAGGTACAAGGAATAACTGGATGAATACAACAAAGTTCTTCCCATCAAGATGCTCACAGGTCTCACTAAGGAAACCAAATAGGCAATACACTGTAATAAAGTGCAATGAGGTTTTAACAGAAACGAACACAAAGGATGGGAACATCATATAAAAGAAACTGAAAGAAAAAAAGAGCGATCAGAAAAGTGGGAAGTATTTCTCCAATCAGCCAAGAGGGGAAAAGGCAGAAGGACCAGCATCCATAAAAGCAAGAGCATGTATTTCAGGAAAAACACCCAGAGATGGTTCTGCTCGGTTAGGGCACTACTGGCAGCAGGGAGTGGAGAGAGAGGAGACATCCACGAAGAGGTAGTCACCCGGGATCATGTATACAGTATTCCCCGCTTCCAACAGCTTTTCTTTCTGTGGTTTCAGTTACCCCTGGTCAAATGAGGCCCAAAGATATTAAATGGAAAACTTCAGAAATAAACAATTC